TGGAATATTGCACTGGTTTCCTGCTGCCTTTTGTGTATTAATGTGGTGGCAGATTCAGTCAAGTCATTACTCAGATATAATGTTGCCTCATGTCAATTGTAAGTGGATTATTTTTTCCATTCATTTTGTTCTCATATAAAATCAGCATAATCTAAACTCAGCAACTGTAAAAAAGTAAATCTGTATCTGTACCCAGATGAATTTAACCCTATCTCTGTGTGATATTTCTTAAGGTTTTTTCTAGTCAGCAGAGAACAACAAGGAAAAGGGCCAGCAATGAATATTTCTATCTCCTTTGGGTGATGAAGATTTTTTTGCCTTTGTACCACTTTATCAAGGTGCAGGTCTACTGAAATTGCTGCTTTCAAAACCAGGCTTGTTATTGATTTTTGTGAGACCACGATCATTAAAATGATTTTCCAATGATTAAGTTCTCTGAAACAAAAGTGGAGAGTGAAACATGCCTCCTTACATACCATGTCCCTCTTCTGGTCCCATGCAGAGCCACAGAGCCCAGCTGAAGGTCTCAAAGCTCTTGAAACCATAAAGAAGCAAAATTTCACACTGTTAGGATGTAGTGAATTATTCTCACTCCTCTTGTTCAAAGGATGGAGGAACTTATGTGTAAAAATCCATCTATCTCCATGTAAAACTCCCCCACCTGAGCCCTCAGCCTGTGCCCTTTTCTGCTAGTTGCACACTTTTCTGTGGGTTGTTTTTTCAAAGTCAATAGAAAATATTTTATGTGTGCTAAAATGCAACGTTGCTTTTGCAAAAATAATCAAATGCCTTTTGCTGATAAAACAGGGAAGATTTTTCATGTTTCATAATGCAAAGGTTTTTCATGTTTCATAATGTTTAAGTAATTCTTGATGATATAATAAAATACTTGACTAAATGAAGTGCATCACACTGTGTACATAGAAACCTTAGAGTCTGTGTACGCATATTTTCCCAGAGCATTCTTTCTTGTTTCACTTGCATCTTTTGCTATTCACAGCCTGGTTTATATATTTACCAAACAGCTCAGGTGGCCAAGCAATTACAATAACAAATGTGTAACAGGGAGTAAATGCTGTGTCATGTGGTACAAAGTATTGCTGCATGGGTTCAGGCCCTCATCCAATAACCAGTAAATGCAGAAAGAGGACTTCATTGGCATCAACACATTTTTCACTGTATCTTTAATGGCACTAGAACTTAGTTTGGAAGATATTATTAAAATTCAAGGGTTAAACGTATTTGGTATGGACAAGTGACACAATTTTTTGTAGACACCAAATGTTCTATTACACATTATTCATCTCAAATCACAAAACACAGAATACTTGCTGGTAACATCTACTTTTGCTTGGGTGAATGAATATTAAAACTTGTTATCACTGACTTCCATGTTTTGTTAAGGCAGAAGAAAATACAGTATTTTTAAGCAGCACAAGAACTTCTTAAAGAGAAAAATATTTAGCAACCATGTGGTTTTTGCAGTCATGGTGTCTTACAGTTGACATGATTGAGCTTGGCAGTTGGACTAGGACCTCTGTCTTTTCTGGAGTTTCTGTGTGGCTTTGCTGTTGTCACTTGATCTTTACATTGGAGCATTCAAGTACCTCTGGAGCTTTCTTTAATTCGTGTCCTTGTAATCATCTGTCTGCCTCAGACCACACTTTCTAGATGAAGCAGAGGGAATGGGAAGGATCAGAAAAATCTCTGCTACCTTAATGCCTTCCATATTCCCAGTGGTCCTAAAATAAGTGCTCAAATTCTTTGTTGCAAAAGACAGACTCAGGATTCCTTCTTCTCTGGCAAATGCTTTCATTTCTTGGGTGTATAACTGCTGGAGCAATGGGAGGACTTGTTTTCAGCACAGACCAGTGCATTCTATCATACTCCCATCTGTTGATCTTTTCCTTGGAACCAGGATTCTTTAATCTCTTGAAAGATGTTGCATCTTCCTCATATTCTCCATTTTACCTGCTTGTCTAGAAGACTTTTTTTCAGAAGTACATTTTATTTTGCTCCAAAGAACCCAAATAAAGTTGCAAATCATCTTGAAAACCAGAGAATTACAAAAACTTTTTTTTGTCCTCTTTGTTTGCTTCAAAATTAATCTTCCCTCTATTTTGCCTGAAAACTCCCTTAGTTGTATTCTTCCTTGTGTTGCCTTGACCTCTCTTCATCTAGTTGCTTTATATTCCCAGGAAGCTCATTCCTGACCTCCTTACAGGGTAAATGCTGCTGTTTCTAGACTTGCCAGTGAATTTCTGCCTTGCTCACCTTTTCCTAATTCACCCATTCCTAACCAGCTTGTATCTTTTCTCTACTTGATTTTCAACCTCTTCTAGGCTCTCTTTTAATTCTGGCTGCCCTTTCACTTCATGTCTCACAGCCTGGCAGGTGGAATCAGAGAACCACAGAAATCCACTTGGAGGAATATAGGAACTGAGGGATCTGAGGGAAGTAATGGGACACACTGGAAGTGACTCAAGGAAGAAGAAAGAGTCGGAGCCCTTTCTGCTCTCCTTACTCCACCTACATGAGCTGCTCTCCACACTGCTCTTCCTGCAGGCTTGCTTGGCTCTCCCCTCATCTCCATGGTCACCTTTACAGTCTCCTCACAACAGGCTTGAACCATGACGCTTAACAGGAACTACTTGAAAGCCCTGGAGACATATTTAGAGGGAAAGCAGAAATTAACTGCTCTATGGGTATTTACCTAGTACCTGAAACAATTACCCATTGCATTTCCAGGTGAAGCTGGGGACAGGATAGCATTGCAAGCACGTGTGCATTCCTGATGCCTTTCCCATACATGTCTCCTGTAGCTCTCTGCAGTGTTTATATCATAAATAATGTCTGGTTTATGTTTATGGACTTTGAATCCTTGCTGAAATTAGATCTGTGTACATTGTCAGAAAGAGGATCAAAACAAAGAAGCAGAGAAATATATTCTAAAGGAACAAAAAACACCTCAAGCCACACCAAAACCAAGTCACCCCTTCTCCCCACCAAAACCCAGCTTAAGAAGAAAAGAAAGAAAATAAAGGATAAGATTTTGACCTATGACTTCTGGAGAAGGCTTGTCTATCCAGCGCATAGGATGGAATCAGTCCTATCCCTCAAAGCAGATACTAAACAAATTTAGAAATCCTCAAAGACTCTGAAACTTGTCTCAGATGTTTCTATAGTTTTTTCAAGACTTAAAGAAACAGGTTTATAATGGGATAGGTTACACGTTACAACTAAAAGGAGGGAATAAAGCTAGCAGCAGTTTTACAGTGTTCTGGTAATTAGTAGAAGATCTACTAATGTCTTGTACTACTGTACAAGACATCACATTGTACAAGCCTGATTCATGCCTGTGCACACAGACCTCATCTTTGTGAGGCATCCTGTCACATCAAAAGCTTCTTTGTGAACTCAGGAAATGCATATGAAGGGATGGGCAAAGACCTGATAGGTAAAGGGACATGTTAGAATTTTTTGACACTATAAATATATTTACATTATTATTAGCATAACTCGGTCATTTGAGAGTGAGATTGTCCGTACACTTTCTTTACTAATGTGAAGTCTAGACACACATTTCCTGGGACGAAGGAAGATCAGCTTCCTTGGTACTACAGGTTGTGCTCCCAAATGATATTGTGTGGCCACATCCACTTTAAACCATTACAAGGTCCTAGAAGCACTTTAAAATAGATGCAGCTTAGCCATAAAATGAGTATTTCTCACGATTCCTCATGAGAATCTGTAAACTAAGAAATCAGTATCTGATACGTAGGTATGGTTCAGTTCCAATCAGCAGGCTTTACTGATGCATCTTTTCCAGGTCCATGGTGTCAGCAGAATTCACAGGTACCATACACAGCTACCATAGCTGAGGTGCGAATGCAGCAGGCACAGGCAGTGCCTGCCCTGGTGTTAAACTGGCTGCTCGTGCTCAGCATGTTCAATTAACAGGCTCATGCTACACAAAACACAGGAGCAAGGGACAGAACTTACTGAGCTGCTGTCAGCCTTCAGTGGGACAACCACAGAGGGTCATGCAGAAACATCCAGAGGTGCCAGCTGAGATCACAATTCAGTCAGGTTTCTCCACAGCTGTGTTAAATCTGAATCTCAAAATTCTGCCTCTTAGCAGAGCTGCTAAGTTTGTGTGTAGGTGTTGAGAATCAACTTGATGAATCCCTGAGCAACCTGATTTAATTAAGCCTGCTTTGAGCAGGATATTTGACTAGGTGACCTCCAGAGGTCTCTTCCAGGCTAAATTATTCTATGAGTGAATTCTAATGCACCTATACTGCACCCAGTTCCAGTATTCATGTCACTTCTCTCCCATGCTCCATGAACAAACACTAGGACTGTCCTTAGTTTAAAAAAAAAGTTGGCTGTATTGTGAGCTAGCAAGTTAAATGCCTAATCTAAGGGAACCAGTGCACTTCTGTGGGGATCTATGGTGTTCCTGAGACAGCTGCAGCGAAGCTGCATCATGTACAAACTTCATCATGTACACATGCCTCACCTCCAAGTATGCAGTATGTGTGTTCTGAGAGATTCTCTGGTAGTCAGAAAAACAAGAAAACTTCAGGTTCCTGGTTTAGGTAAAAACCCTGAGTAATTGATTCTGGTGGGTGAAGAGAGCACCTCATTGCTGGAGTGGTGAAAGCAGCATGGTGTTTCCAGATTTAAAACATACTAGATTCTCTTCACAATGCCTCATTGAATAAGATGATTATAGTGGAAGGACAATTAATGACTGTTTTCCCAAGTGCAGACCAGGGCTGTGAATGAAGTGTCAGCAAGGAGCAGCTCCCTGATGAGCAAACAAGCTGGTGGTGTTTGGAAACTCCCTTGGAGACACGGGTCCTTTGTTTCATTTCTCACTGCACAACATGAAAAAGAGGAAGAATTTAGGTGGAGCTGATGTAAACTGGGGAAATCATACTGTGATCTTCCTTCAGTTTGCATGCTGGGAACATGAAGGACAGGTCATAAAGACAATGAAGAACATGCTCCTTTTCCTAATTTTGCTGGGAGTAGTATCTGGTAAGAACATGATTTCATTATGCTGCTAAAATTAGAACACTGTTGGCTGTTATACTTTCTCTAGGGAACTTTATAATACATATTTAGGGATCAGACACAGATGGGAAAAATCAAGCAACAATTATTTTCTGACTGAAATAGACTGGGCTCTGTGGTTACAGCAGTATAATGAAGAGAATATGACTCTTTAATAAAACTCTTTTTTTGGATGAGGCACTTCATTTCTAATAGCCACTGCCCAGTGTGTCAGCAGTGGAGTGGGAAAGGAGGTCAGCTCTCCAAGAAACAATAACTAGTGGTTATACTCCAGTATCTTCCTTTCAGAAATTGATAGCATTTCTCTTTGATAAAGTAAAACAAGCAATCTAACAGGGCCAAACAGAGAGAAAGTTGTGGACAATATTCATAGTATAACATGACTAACTTTGATCAGTGTAAATACATGGGAGATTTGCCAATACGAGTATTTGCACATTAGCAACTTAGCAGATCTTCAAACTGTCTGAAGTCTGGGTGGCACATGAAGCACTGCTGTTGCTGTAGGCACCTGCTCAGGAAGGGTCATTTGGCTCTCAAGGAGCTGTAAGAGCTCTGCCATCCCTCAGGAGCCTCTCAGTCTTCAGTGGTTTTCCTGATGTTCCCAAAACTGTGATTAGGATCCTGCCTGCCACTTTAAGCTTTCTTTGAAAAATAGCATTTTTCTAACCTGCATGGTTGTGGATAGAGAAAATCTTGAGGGTGTTACTCAAGCACACTCTAAAGACTGGCACATCGCAGATAAATAAGTCTTAAATATACATAAACTTCTCCAAAATAATCTCATTATTGCTTTGTTTTGGACTTATAATTTGTCAATTATTGTCATTGATAATTCTGATAAATAATGTGTTAAATTGCTACAGAAATATTTTGGTCTGCAAAGTAAAGAGGTAAGCAAAGATTTGTGAATATGGAAGGAGAAGTTTTGTAAAATTTGTTGGAAAAAGAAGAAGCCATTCAGATGCAGCAGATTTCAGTTAAAATGAAGAGCAAGAAGTTAGAACTTTTGATTTAGAAAGACAAATTCTGAATAAACAGCCAATGCAATCTTTGGACATAACACAAAAATAGCAACTCCTTTCTACATTTCTAAATACTGTAAATTATTTCATTGCTTGTATAAATGGTTTCCATTAATGAACTGTGGCTTGATAAGTGAACTGAATTCATCAAGTACTGTCCACAGGAGATTACATTTGAGCTCCACTTATGGAAACGTATCTCCAGAAACCCCTCTCAGCCCAGCCTCATTTGCATGGGTGATTTTTGTTGATGATGTTTTCCAGAATTTGTAATAACAGTAATAAAAACTTGGTCCTTCACTGTATCTTGCTCCTGCTGACATAAATCAGTAACAGCTCAGCTGAACTCAGTCCTACCAGGGTGTCAGACTGACCTGTTTCAGTCAGGTCAGAGATTAACTCTTTCAGGCAGTTCCCACCTCACAGTGTCCCACATCCCACCCTGTACCTGTAGAGTATCTCCAGTGTAATTTTTTCCATAAATGCCCAAGTAATCCCAGCTGGATCAGTGACCCAGGAACCTGCAGTATCTGCAGTGTAGGATCATGAGAATCTCCATGCAGCTCTAATGGTCTCAGACCAGTTCCTGTAGCAGCTTTTCACCTTGCAACTCCTCAGCAAAAAAAAAAAAAAAAATAGACTTCATGGAGCTTTTGCCACAGTAATTGAGACACTATCGGTCTCCCTCTTGGCACAGAGTGTGCAGGAAGTTTGGCTGATCACAGTGGGCAGTATCTGTCTCCCTATTGGCACAATGTGTAGAAGTTTGGCTGAACATAGCCAGCTTTCTTGGAGAGTGTTTTAAATGAGCCAGTGAAGCATCCATCCCCAAGCAAGAGTCGCCCCTGCCATAGTCTGGTGTTGAGGTACATTGCTGGTTCAAGGGTATGAGATTACTGAAGTGTTGTTTCAGGGCATCAAAAGCAGCCCTGATTTATGTTTTCTTAATAAGATGAAGCACAGCAGGCCTTTGTCAAAAATACCAAAAACTAGAAGCTAAATGACAGAGAAAGCAGAAGGTTTGGTTTGGGGAATCCAGACAAATGAGGAGCTTGTGCAAATCTGTGGATACCTCACCAGCAGGTGCAGCTTCCATGGAGTTTTGAACCACAGGGTGCTTTTGTGGACCTGCATCTTCTCCAAAGACTCCAGGCTGCTCTTCCTTGCTCAAAGCAGGAGACATGACAGTACACACCTGAAATTGTTATGAGACCACACTACGCAAGAGCCAGGCTTGCACACAGCTGCTGTAGAAAGAATTAGAAGAGGGAAAATGGAGGAAATAGGTGCTGCAGATAGCATTGTCCACAAAAAACCACTGCTTCTTTGTGTCTGGGTCTGTGTGATCCAAGGTACTTCATGTAACAGTGAGCAGAGGCAAGAATTAGTACAGGGAGCAAAATGAAAAATAGAAACGTTTTGGGCTTCTTTGCTTCCGTACAAAGACATGTATGAAGGCAAATGATGCAGCAAAATAATACTTTGACAATGACCACTCTAGATGACAATACTATAGGACTGAATTACAGAAAAGATGGATTCTTTTGCCATTAATTCTGGATTTACTGCCACATGTGTCCATTCATAGGTAAAAAGAGAGTCAGGGCTTTTTGTGTTCCTTAATGGCAGCTCTTGTCAAAAAGCTGTGTATTTGTTAGCTCAAGTAATTTCACATTCATTTTCCTCTGCAGGAAGAAGATCCCAGTTGCTTCAGGGCTTACCTGCAACAAGCACTGTCGAAGAAAACTCTGCAGCTGGTGTTGCAGTCTATGACTTTAATGTAACTCTTTCTCCATTGGCTTCTGAAGGTGTTGCAATTCCTCCTACCATAGTAAATTCAAATCCACTCACAGAAGCTTTTGACATTGTATCAAAAGGAGGTCTTGAATTCAGGGTGAGTTTTCAGTTTAACTTGAGTAATTTTCAGTTGTAGGCTGATGTTTCCTGGATTACTGAGCACTGACAGTGCACAATGTCTCATCTTTTAATCAGAAAAGAATTTTAAATGCAGACTGTGGTGGTATTCAAAAATGCTGCAATAGATATGACAGATGAATAGCAATAGTAATTATGATTTTTAATTGCATCTAGGAAAAATCACTCATCACAATAATTCCATTAGTTCTGTGATAGAAAAAAATGTGATTTTTAGAAAATAAGAAGTGAAGAAGAATGTGGAGGATCTGCTTCTGTTTTGAGGTTTTATCCAAAGTTTTTCAGCTTAATATGTATGAAGTCACTGTGAAATGAAAGTGCCTTAGTTAAACCACATTCAGCTTCTGTTTGGCCACTCTCACCAAGAATGAAAATTAATTTGTTTTACTCCCAAAATAAATGAAACTGAATTAGATCAAAGTAATTTTTAATTCTGAACAAAGGCTGTGACATATGAGGAAGTTATCTTGACGTAGAAGCTATCACCCTTCCACATATCTGTGACCTGTCTCTCTCCATTCCATGCTCTTGTCCTGCGGCAAATGCAGAGTAATCTCCATTACTTCAGGCTGATTTTCATTGTTGAATAAATCAGCAAATATTAGCTCACATATGTCACAGGCAATGAGTGTTCAGATGCATGATAAATTGTCATCCCACTGCAACTTGCTTGTGTATCTGAGCCTGAACAGCAATACTAAAGGGTGGCTTTAATAGATACAGATGGAAATGGTGCAGAGTCTTAAAAAGGTGGTTTGAATATCCTTTTCTGGGTGTTTCCAAGGAAATTCAGGTTTTCACAGAACTGATACAACAGCTTTTTTTCTAGTTCTCTTTGCTGGTGATTCTGGGAGAAAATTTGGAAAAAGTAAGGCTATGATATTGGCTCATGGATTTGATGAGCCTGCAGGGAACTGCTGTGTCTCCCATGCTCCAGCCTCCCAGCAGAGCACAAAGTTCACCTGTGCCAGCTCTGATGGCTCTTTACTGCTCCCCAGCCAGGTCAGTGAAATGGCTAAAAAACCTCTCACAAAAGCCATCTTTAGCTGTGAAGCACAGGGTGGGACTGTACAAATACCTGGACTGGGTCAGCTGAAGAGATCATAGAGCCATAGCATTATAGAATATGCTGCGTTGGGAGGGTTCCTTCAGGATTATCTAATCCAGCTCCTGGATCACCCCAAGAATCACTCCATGTGCCTGAGAGCATTGTCCAATTGCTTCTTTAACTCTGCCAGGCTTGGTGCTGGGACCACTGGCCTGGGGAGCTGTTCCAATGCCCAGCCACTTTCTGGGTGGAAAACCTTTGCCTGATGTGTAACCTAAACCTCCCCAAACTCTGCTTCATGCTCTTTCCTCGACTCCTGTGTAACAGGAGTTACAATCAGAAGGAAATGGATACACCCCTTAAACTGGCTTTGCTGACAGAGAATCCATAATGTAGGACTCCCTTCCTAAGCTTTATTTTGGCACTTTGAATTAAAGAGCTTCTTTAATTCTGCTTCTGCTGCAAAAAAAACCTTAGTCCTTTTATATACCTGCTTGGTCCGATCCCACGTCATCTTTATGTTGTGACACACAAGAATTTATATTGCTGCATGTTGAGTGGGACTGAGAAGTTAATATGGAGGAAAAATAACAGAAAAAAGTCCCTCTTGGTTTTTTTTTCATGGCAAGGATGATGGAGAAATTATTGTTCTAGAACAGTGGAGGGTGACACAAGGATGAAAATGAATGCCAAAAAAGCTGGAAACTGGAGACAGCTTCTTCCAAAGTGCCAGTTTGTATCCATTTCACACCACAGCCACATTACCAGAATGGCCTGTGAGCCTGTTTGTGTTCTGCTTGAGCTGTTGCTTTTTTAAACATTCCCTAAGTCACTCGGAGGACTAGAATAAAGAGTTTGAGCCAGAGAATACCAGCCATGAAAAAAATCATAAAGCAATCTACATCCAAATTCTGCAAATTAGCAGAGGAGTGCTAATTACAGCTTATAAAGCAAGGATAAATACATGGGTGGTTTTAGTTAATTTATTTGATGAGGATTGCTACTTTTAATTACTTATGCTATGTTGTAGCAGATCTGAACAATATTTCACAAAAAGTGATGTGTTCCAAAACCAGACACCTCAGCTCTACCTGCTGCCATGAAATCTTTGTTAAGATATAGAAGAAGGCAGTATTTCATGAATGAATTATGAGATTACTAAGTACCTGCTAGAATAGGCTTTTCAGTATTTATGAAGCACATTTAGCCCTGTTGCAGCAGCAGAAAGCAATATCACGTTTCTTGATACATTTTGAGACTTCTGAGAAAGTAACAATTTCTGAGATCTCAGTTCTGTCCCTTACTCCTCGCCTTACTCCTGTTTGAAGGTTCTCAGGAGCAGAAGATGTGTGGAATGTATAAAAACCTGCTGCTGCCTGAAACTGCCTGGGTGCTCTTAGTGGTGCTCTCTGAATGTATTGAATATATCGGTGGTGGAGCAGGGAGCAGTGAAATTCTCATGTGGAATGAGTGATAGACATTAGATAGTTTAGGGGTGACTCTAGATCCCCCTTCATGAAGCCTGCAGCTGCTACAAGTGTGTGCACTCCTGCCTTTATCAGTGAGCTTTGCTCCTACCTGAAGGAAAGGTGAATTCTGGCTCACAGCCTACACCAGTGGCATGCTGTTCCCAAAAAGCTTCAAAAGCAACTTAGGAAGAGGCAATTTAGATTCACATCTTCACTTCTAAGGCATTTATAAAGGAGGGTGGGAGATGTGTATTTAGACATATTTAGTCTGGCTGTAGTTACATCACCAATGAAAATATTTGGCTGTGGACTGGAGGGATAATCTGCAGAACACATAACTTCTGCTTAGAACTGGACACTTTAAAATGTTGAATTCATTGTATGTGTTTATGGTATTTAGATCTCCATCAAACATTCATTTTGAACATCAAGCTTTCCACTGTTGTGACAAGCTTTTTAGAATGTTTCTTCTGTGTTAGCCTCACTTTTATGGGAAACTTGTATCTGTACTATAGGAGGAGAGGAGACCATCCAGGCCACAGTTATTTTCTCCTGCAGTATTGTAACAAAAAGATCCATGAGATTCCAAACAGAAGCTGTTTTATGTACCAGAAGGCACAAAACATTTGTGCTTCTCTTCACTCCCCTCCAACTCTTTGTTATTTGTCTCTATTTTGACTTCTGCCTTCTAACTGTGCTGGCATCACTTTTGTGTTTGTCCTCAGGCCCACAGCATCTCATCTAAACCCAAGGATTTATTTCATTGTTTTCCTTCTGGAAGCTCTTCAGCCTCCTTTATTCTGCAGTATTGCAAATACACTGACATGCTACTTGTCACATACACTCATGAGCCCCAACAGTTTTCCTTCTCCAGTTTCACAGCACCCTGCTACTGTGTTCAAGTTTCACAGTTTGTTAGCCACACAAAAAACGGAACTGTCACCTTTTCCTTTCTTGTCCAAGAAAGGGAAAATCTATTGGTTTCAGCAGTGAAGATTGAGGCATACAACTTTAAGCATCCTGCTGCTCCTCTGGACTCATCCTAAATCCAGAATGATTGCACTTTACTTCTTTTCATAGAATGTCAATCTTGTGCTAGTACATATCCATTGTTAAAAGGCAATATGCAGAGCTGGAAGCCTTTGAAATAAAATCCCCAAAACAAAATAATTTTGCCTTATCAATCTTGCAAAACTCAAGGTTATTTTTTCAATTAGTTCATCATTTTCCCCAAACAATTCTGGTGCCTCTCTCAGACAATGTACCCATGAAGTTTCCTTCTTCTGTGATTTTCCTGCAAGTCTTCTCCCAGATACAGGTTACACAAGGAAGGTTCTGGTAGCTATTAGACTATATGGTCTCCTGCCTCCACACTCTTTATTTCAAGTAAAAGTTCTTCCTCCTCATGTTCCTATTTCACAGAAACAGTGAAGCTGCCCTTGTGTCTTGCAAGGTTTCCTCTGAATTCTCAGTGTCATCACACCTTGAGCAGTTTTGGAGCATGATGTGGAAAGGAAAACACTTGAAGCAGACACGTACCTGCAAGATATAGTCCTGAGCTTGAAGACAGAGCTGTGAGGTGGGGCAGCTTCTTCCAGGCTGTCTCCTCCTCAAACTGCTCCTCACACAAAGGATCTTTGAGTTACTCCACAAAGCCACACATTTTGGTCTCTTTACTCTGTTTCTGTCTCATTTTTGCCACTGTTGAGAAATGTGCCAACAAGTACAAGATTATCTTAAACACTCACTCTTTACTGATTGAAAGTGTCCCTTTATTTGTATTCTCTCATTTGGACTGTAAGTTCCATCTGTTGCATCATGTGCTAATAACAATCTTTTATTTTCAGGTTATTACCACTGGAAACCCCATCCTAGATTATGAAACTATGCCAAAGAGCTTTGATTTGCAGATTTTTGTTGAAGATACAACTGGAAGGACTGACCTTAACATATTGACTATTCGTGTAACAGATAAAAATGAACATCCTGTATTTCGAGGAAATATGGCAACTCAAAGTAAGATGATGGTAGAATTTAGAAGAATAACACTTGAAAAGATGACATCAGCTTAAAAAAATTGATCTTATACAGTGCCTGTAGGTATGGTAGTCTAGGCATTTTCCTTTAGGAAAACAAGGGAGGAACACAGCTTTGTTTTACACAAAGTGTTGGTATGCTTTATCTTTGGAAATGCCCTTTTATTTTTCTTGAAGTTTAAAAAAAAAAATTAACCATTTTGAGGCAGCTGAAGAATTAAAAGAAAAAATTATACTAATAAATGCATATTTTTTAAAATTAGAAATTTGGAGTTTTCTGGGATTATGACCATTGAGTATGTAGTTTGTTGGAAACTGGACAAGCAAGGTATTTTTAACAAGTGCATAGTGGATGTGCAAGAATTTATGTGAGAAAACCATAAAACCTTGCTTTGCAGATGTTTTATATCTGCATATTGCATTTACACCTTCACATGAGAAGTAAGTTGGAAATCAGTCTTAAGAGTGAGACCTCAGAGCTTGTGATCTATGGTGGTACAAATGGAAAGAGGCAGAGAGTTCTGTCTCCTACATGGGGCAGTTGATGTTAACCAAGTTTACTTTTAGACCAGGGGCAAAGATGCCAGGGGAGGAATGTGCAGCAGCCTTGGGAACGGGGCTGGAGAGCCTGGGCTGCAGCTGTGGCCAGGGCAGGCTTTGCAAGTCGTGCTGTACCTGGTGTGAGTGACACTGCCATTGACAGAAAGGATGGGAAATAAATGTCTTACTCACTGAGATCTTACCTTGCTTATTTACTAATGAAGAAGACCTGCAAAAGTTGTACCAGATGCATCAGAATACAATGATTTGTTTATTATGTGTTCATGTGCAGACAGAAAAGTTCAGTTCACTACATAAAATACTGAGAGCCTGTTTGAACACTTTTGCTGTTCTAACAGCACTGTATGGCCAAGCATACTTCAATATTCAGTTTAAAAATATCTGAAAATGCTAAACTGTGATCCCTTTGTAGCAGGAACTCAGAGCTGGCTGCTAACCCCCCAGGTCTGCACTGACCACACTGGCTGCACTTTTTCCTGCTGCTCAGGGATGTGTTCAGAGCAGCCTGCTCACATTCAGCCCTCCTCACTGGTGCCTCCTGAGCACATTGACATCCCTGATTCCATACAATACTTAGTTTGTAAAGCAAATTAGCTTCCCCCAGGGAAGAGGCTGTGTCATCTTCTCGGTATAGCTGATGTCTTGCATATCATGGGTGCCACTGGAATCTAATAATAATTAAATCTGACACTTGGAGGGATCGACACAGCATGAAACACACTACGTGGGAGCTTGTTACAAATAAAGGCATCAGCTTAACTCTCAGCTAGAGCTGCCATAAATTGGTGAGCACAGATGTCTGATCTGTCTGACTGTGTGGCTTTAGTTAACAGTACCAGCCACAATTAGACACTAATTGCACATTTGCTGTTTATGAAAAAGCATCTCCCTCTCATTAAACTTTGTATTCATGTTGTTGTCCTCTGGGAACAGCTCATTATGCTGCTCTGGGATTCCCACTGCTCTGATGAGGAGCAGCAGTCAGTAGGGGTCACAGTGGAAATTAATAGTCCAGAAAGAGCAGATCCAGCAGACACAAAAGGGCATAAAGCAAATGATGTGATCTGAAGATCTGTTGTCCTGTTAATTGCTCTGCCCAAGGAGAGATGAGCCTGTTGCCAGTGGTCCAGTGTGGGATAGCCCAGCTGTGAGAATCCATGGCATGGAAAGGAATGTACCTTGCACTGAATTATCAGCCTTAGCAAAGCAAGAATTTAAGTCAGTGCAGACCATTTGCTAATTATCTGCCTCACAGGTGTAAAGGAAAAGCAGAAATGAAGAGGAAAGGTTCTGAGCTCTCCTGGCAGGGCACGGGGTGTGTACAGGAAGGGGATGGTGGTGAGGACCTAGTACAGGATTGCATTCTTCCCATCTGCATGGTAAAAACCCCCACAGATGTAGCCCAAATGCACAATTTACTCCATAACCTGTGAACAACTCAAGATAGGCCATCAGGGAAGATCAGTCTTTGCCTTGGAGGGACAATTCATATTGCAGAGGTGGTTGCCTGTTTAGAGATTTGTAATTGGTTTCTTTTTATCCTTTGAGTATCTGTGATCTTTGTGATGATTTTGGAATTACACTTGTGAAGAGAGAAGAAGCAGCAGGCAGTAATACATCCTGACAGCTTCAGTGCATCAGTCTCTTTGCTGCTGTGCCCTTTGCTTTATTCAGATAACGATTAGTCTTACATCCATGCAGCTGTGATGATCTATGTGCTGGAAGGGACACCTCCAGAACGCATTTACCAAGTTGGTGCAGCTGATCCTGAAAATGCAAAACTCCAAGTAAGTTGTATTAAACAAAAAACTCCAGAGACTGTATAATCTGCTGTGTCTGAAATGTGAATTCCCATCATCTTTCAACAACTTCCTTCCTTATCAGAAACACAGGAAAAGTTTTAATCTGGAAAAAAAGAAGCATTCTCAGTACTAAACTAAGAAAAAGCAGCCTTAATGCTTGGACACAAACTATATTTTAAATTCTCAGCCTTCCTAAATTAAGGGATATTGAAGGCAGAATTTGATATAGTTAATCAGAGACACAGTAAAAATTGTGAATTTAAAATTTACAAAAGGCTTACAAAATGTTTCTTGTAGATAAGAGTGACTAAAAGTAAGTAAAAATTTTAACCTTCTGTATCACAATTTAAATTCTCTTAAATGAGACAGTAGGGAAATCACAAGGCAAATGAATATCAGGTTTTGGACAATTCCAGGACAAACTGTGATCTACCTTCAGTTATGAAAATGTGTTGGCTGATCTGAAAATACTCTTGGTATTCAGAAAAACTTGTGGGGAAAGATACATTGGTAGCTGGGGGAAAGTAACTGCATTTAGCTAAGAATTTGCTTTATTTAGTTTGGCTTTATAAAATACAGTACATTCAAGAACTGAACCCGAAGATGCTGCCTCAATGTTTAGTGTTATTCATTAAAGCAATTAGCTTGAAGTCTGTGCTCAGCCTTTGCCCAGTGAAGCTGAGCTGGTGAGGAGGGAGGCAGAGCTGTGGGGGTTTAGCTCTGCTTTGTGTGTGAAAGCAAAGGCAGGGAGTTCCCTGTGCCCTCTAACCCTGACACATCTGAGGCATAGGAAGCTGAAAATAAAGAAATGCTGTTACACCCTTGGGCAGATCTGCTCAGAGGCTTTTGCAGGTTATTTTTGTGGTGCTTGACCCTCCGTAACTTTCCCTGTTCTACAATGATAGGAATGAATGGAGAGATGTTTAAAGGTAAAAAGACTAATTTCTTGTTCTCTCCATTTCAGTATTCACTGCTCCCTGCAACAGCACCATTCTCAATCAGGGAAAGTGGAGCCATTTTTTCCACAAAAGAATTTGATTATGAGAAAGATCCACATAGGTGAGAATGTATTTTATTCCCATGGCCTATTAGCTTATAGTATCCAGAGAAATGTTTTCTGACATAAGCAGAATGATTCTTGTTCTGTTTTTCTTATTTAACAGTTACTTCTTAAATATAACAGTGACAGATCCAGATGGACTCAACTCAACTAGAACAGTGAATATAAATATAATTAACATCAATGATGAAAGACCTTACTTTACCACGTGAGTAAAAATTTTCCATTGCCCTCAAAATGTAGGTGTTTTCTCAGGTTTACTGCTTTGGCACCAGTGGGAGGGTTTAACATATGACAACAAAATATGACTGAAAAAAGTATTTTAGTTTTGCTATAAGTCCTGTTCTTATACTGGAAAGCTTTGTCCTGATGTCACTCATTTATTCTTATTTGTATTCTTAATAGTTGAAAGTTTTCCAGGCTCTGTCTTTACACTAAGAACAGCCAAACAAGCTTGTTTTACTTGTTAGCATTTACAAAGGTTAAAGCTATGCAAAGATTCATGGACAAGTTCAGACAAGGAGGTTAATTTCACCCGGTGTGAATACAATCATATAGGGTTCTCTCCTTATGCAGGTGTGCATTTCACCATAATTGTGTTATTCATGCAGAAATGTCTAGACATAAAAAGGTCTCCCTTTTGATCAGTCTTCTCTTCCCAGACACACTTGTAAACAATCCTGGTGATCTTTGAAACGTTGCTGTCTCTTACTGTGTCATAAGCAGGAAATTGTGTCATAACACACAAGTCAGAAATAGTTTTTGAAGGCTAATGGAGTCAGGATATATTAAGAATTTAGAAAAATGGGAACAAATATGCATGTGCTACAAGCAAGCTGTTTTGCTCTGGGAAGCACAATGGATGGTTGTTTCTGAAGCAGGAGCTTGACAATTACTACAGCTGATCTGACTCTGTTGTTGATTTATCTATGTCACTTGCATGAGACACTGATGGGATTTAAGGCACTGTCATTGTGTCTGCTGATTGTGAGACTCTACAAGGTCCCTGCTGAGAATATTTATGATGGTTCTTCTCCTGCCACCTCTGCAACAGTGGAGACAGGAGAGCACCTGGGGCCATCATGCCAGGAGGTTCCAGCCACTTGTTTGGAACAATCTTCTGGGTGTTGTCTCAACCCAGAGCAATGCATGGTTCCTGGGCTGAGGCCAATGATCTGGACCTTGGTGGATAAAGGGGTGAAGAATCTGAAGAAACAAAAGAATTAAACGTTAGAAATAGTCATGAATTGTTGTTGCTGTTGCTGTTGATTTTATTTTTTTTTTGCTACCTACTTAATACTTGAACCTCATGTCTGCAATAAACATGAACATTAATAACTCATTCCATGTTACTGTACTTCTGCAAGCAGGAGTGATGCCTTGGGAGGCTGCCTAGAACAAAGACTAGGCAGAGTTAAAGGAATAAAGTATGTATTCATTAAAAGGCCTTCAGAGGATACACCTTGGGCAGTACAAGAACTCAGCCAAGGCTACACCCAAGATGGACAACCGGTCATGAGTTTTCACACTTTTAGAGGTTTCATTCCATTTACATATTGGGGTTCATTGTCCAATTACACCTTCAGGTTATGAAGTCCCATCCTCCCAGACTGCTCTCTGCAGTTCCCTGTTTTTTATCCTTTTGGGGCATGAAGCTGCAATGGTGTCCTTAGTTCTCAAGCTGAAGAAGGATTGTTTTGTCCAATTGAACTGTGAAGAGAACTTGCTAACACTTTATATGAAGTTCAGAGTTATATACTAATGCAGTATCTGGAAAATATGAAAGCTGAAACTTAAGGCATCATAAGGAATCTTCTTCTCAGTGCCACTGTCTGCACATTGTGTTCTAGACTGATTATTCCCTCCTAATTTTGCCATTTTTGTGTATTTATCCTTGTGTATGGAATGCTAAAAGAGCTCTTTTAAATATTTATCTACTTGTTTGAATTAGCGAAAACTGCAGTGACTTGAGAATCTGTAACACCTAAGACTCATGTAGCACAAAAAGAGTCTGGTATTGATTTGAATCTTCTCCCTTTTAGATTGGCACTACAGATCAAAAAGAGCAGCTCAGTTTGTAAAGAACTCTAGATTAAATTGCACTTGATGATCTATCCTTATTATGCACGTGTATGGCCTGTCCCCTGCTACAGTGAGAGCTGCATGCTGGGGCTGAGTACTGCCTGACATTGTAATAATCAGTGCTGGGTAAGAGCTGGGGAAACTCGAGGAGTTAGCAAACCTCCTTTATTTTATCCCAATCATAGCTGTCAATAACAGAGTTTCAAAGAGTCTTTTTAATTGTTCCCATAGTATTTGCAAGCACATCTGGTTTTGGTGTTCACAACACTACATTGGCAATCATCCTTTTGAAATTGTTGCTGTTAAAATCAGTGGAAAACTTGTGGAGTCAGGAAAACAAAGGAGAAGACAAGAAAACAAGCATATGCTTCCTTTGCAATTACATGGCAGTGACTAAAAGGTCTGCTAGAGCCATCCTGTACAAAGCCACTGGCAGGTGGCAGACAGATGGACAGCAGGACACATCCCAGACACAGCTGTGTAGGAAGTGGCCCCAGCTCCTCCCCAGCTGTACTGGTGCTTTGTGCTATGGGGGTGTGCCCAATAATGCCCCATTTCTTCCCCAAATATCTAGTGGGGATGGGATAACCAGGGTGCAGAAGGGTTGGTAGGGCTGTGAGGGTGGAGCTGGGGTGAGTTTGCTGTTCACAGAGAGGTTGGAGTTGGGGTCCCAGGGGCCTGGGGAGTTTCCTACCTTGGGCCAAAACCGCTTAGAGCTGTGGGAGTGAGTGGGATCTGTTTCTTTCTGCGTGACTCTGGAAGCAGCAGGACAATAAGGAAGGAAGGGACTCAATGCCAAGACCAGAAACTTCATGAATAACTGACACAGTAGGCTTCATAACCTCCTTGTTTTCTTCTGGCTGTAAGTTAGGTTTTTTTACTGGGAAAACCCTCTGTGATTTCTCCCCTGTATGCTTGCCTCTTTTCATATGAACTGACAGAACAGTTGAAGACAGCGTGTCTCCATAACCATTTTTGAAATTGTGAGTGGATATCTTGAGACATGGGATCTTCTGTTCTGTCTGTGCAATTCTCTGCTCCAATTGCTGAGTGCTCCATGATGTGTGTCTTCAGAGAACAGCAAAGGACTCGTGTCTTCCTGTGCTGGGAACTACAGAGCAGGCAGTTACCTAAGTGGTAGCATAGCATCTTTTAAAAGTGCAAAAAGTATTTAGTCTTGAAACACACTTCTAATGTTTTTTGAACTCTTGAGGATCTTCAACTCCCTTTGAGTTCTAGAATTAGGAGATGCATGTGAGTTCGTGTGTGTTTCAGTAATATAAATCAGTCATCTGAAATTCCTTGCACCATTTTTGTCCTGGCCCATGCCTATTTTCACATGTGGTACAAGTACTGAAATTGTCCACCTGCGTACCTGTGTGAACATCAAACTGCCACCACTGTAAGCAACCCTGCACAATTGCCTGCCATTGGCAATATTTGACCAATAAAACTCAATTCATGGGAAATTTAGGAGCACTGGCATACCAAGCAGCACCAGTAGAGAACCATTTTCCCAATGTAAAATGCATCAGACAGACAGATGCTGCTGGGAGTTTGAGGCATGTTCATCTGTTAGGCACCCAGACGAATGCTCCTTCCTGCCTTGGCCTACTGCAGTGACAATTCAGTTTTTCTGTAATACTGTTGCCCTCCAGAAGGCTCCGGCACTTATTTCAAAAGATGATTAACTACATTACTTGTAATTTTTGCTTTTCTCTTGCAAAATGAGGGAATTAAAGGAAATGGCTCTTTGAGCTGGTGGCTCTTTAGGGAGATGGATGACATGACTTAATGGCCTCCTACCTGTGCTGCTTCCATGGTCCTGTGAAAGTCAAATTGCTTTTACTGTGGAAAAGTTATAGAGGAAGAATTCTTGCTTGTGTGGCTGTGCCATGACCACATGCCAGTTCAGCTACTGCTGCATGTCCATCTGGCAGAACCCATGGATGGGATATTTATCCAGACATGCAAATAGCCATCTCTGAGCCCAGCAGCCCAGCCATGGCTCTGCTGCTACAGTTGGCTTCTCAGCTAAGTCTGTAATCAGCTGCCCTTACAAACAAGATGTGTGCTTTGCTGAATTTTATCTTGTAGAAAACAAAGAATATACCAGATTCCAGAGGAGCAAAGCCCAGGCGCCAGTGTTGCCAATATAACAGCTAGAGATCCTGATGATGGAGATTCTCCCAGCAGACTTTTCTACAGTATCCAGTCATCTGACAGACGTTTTTCCATAAATCCAGGTCAGACAAACAAAAATGTGACTTCTGACATCTGAAAAATAAAATAAAAAAAGACTATCTGTTGGAGAAATTATCTTTACCTTAGTTTTAAATAGACTTATTTTATTTAGTGGCTCCCTATAGCAATAAGGAATGCTCAGTCCCTTATAAGAAAGTGCAATTCTTTGGTCAGCTGGCCAAGACTTGATAAGCTATCTTGAAAAAAGCAGACCAAAGGTGACTTCTTGACAAATACTGACTTGTGGCTCATGGGTGATGGTTCCTCGAGTGGAAGTAAGATTGCTGACTTATTTTTAATCTGAGGGCTGCAGTGACCCTTCTGGGGCTCCTGAAATGTCTGCAGGTAGTTAGACCGTGATGTCCTCCCTCCTGTCTGAAATCCTCTCTAGCACTGAGGCGCACAGCAAATCTACACCTCAAGTTCATTGTTCCATTCATGAGCCTCCTCAAAGGAGTTGCTTTCTCATGGTGATTCCATCTTCTTCATGCTCTCTGGGCTCTGTACATCCGTTCCCCAGGGGTTTTTCCTCCAGGGCTGGCATTCAGTGACAGCTTTGCTCCTTGTCTGCTATTGCTTTGGATCTGTTTATCACAGTTGTAAGAAGTGCCACACAACACAGTGCTGTGGGGGATCGGGATGATCCATAAATGCTTTGGATTCCCTATGCTCTTTGGCCTTGTGTTGCCACCTTCCTCCTCATTACACTCCAAAATGCAGAGGATGTGTGCACTGTTCTTTTAACTCCTTTGTGCTCTGGGAATAGTACTGTGCCATAAAAATCTTCTATTTTTGACAGAGGCTAACAGAAGTGAAAAGAAAGTATTAAGTGAGTGGCTGACCAGAGCACTCTCACAATCTGTCACAGCTCTGTTGATCTGTGAGTAGATTTGGACGTGCTGACAGATGCTTGAATGATACCAGTGGAAAGAGAAGCTGTTTTACTAGCTAGGGAGCCAGGACAGCACAGGCATCAGCAGCTTGTTGTCCTTGATGCTCTGTGTATGCACTCAACTCTGGCTTGCACTGGAAGCTTGAGAGCAAGGGAGACCTGAATGCTTTACAAACCCTCTGCTGAGGCCTCCCATGTGTATTTTTCATCAAGGGTATCTAGCCATTAATCTTACCCAGAATGTTCAGAACCATTTTGCATCACTTAAAAAAGCAACTAAACCCACCATGATTTGCACAGAACAGAAGGCTTGTTTTTATTCTGCTACCTTTCTGTTGAGCTGCCCTGCCCTCTTGCACATACACCATGACTGTTTGTTGCTTCCCCCCATGGTGAATGTCTGACTCCTGGCTGCTCTGGCAGCGACTGGAGAGCTGCAGGTGGCCGGGAGGATCGACCGGGATGCGCTTCCGCTGCGGCTCCATCCCAACATCTCCCTGGTGGTGCGGGCGGAGGACAGCCCCAGCAGCGGCCATGCCAGAGAGATGGAGATCACCATTGTTGTTGAGGATGTCAATGACAACCCCCCAGAATGCAATCCTTCTGCCTTCAGGTATGGAGTCTGTTCCTTGCCTTGGTGCTGCCTTGCTGCCCCAGGCCTGTGTGCAGACGAGGGCACAGCCCCAGACCTACAGCTGGAGACTCCAGGGGACATTTGTCACCAGCCTGCCCATCGTGCAGGGCTGCTGTCCATCACAATGCATGGGTCACTGTCTGGGCTGCTTCCTCCATGGTTGCATATTTAGATCTAGGATTTAATTTAAAAAGTAAATCAATTTTTCGGCCTGTGATATATGAAGAGTTCAAAAGCAGAAATATGAGTTGCTTTGACGGGAAATGTGTTTGTTTTAAACAGGAAAGAAGCAAATGAAAATACCGCTCCTGGGGCATTTCATGTTGATCTTAGAAATTACTGTAAAGATATTGATGCTGATCCATCAAACAACCAATTTATTTTCACTGGATTATCTGGTTTTGGAAGCAATAACTTTGCTCTGGAGTCCACTGGAAGACTTGTGGTCAGTCATTTGTGTCTTTATGTTAGATTACCCCATTAGAGAAGTCAACTTATGAAATATTAAAAGGGATTTTTTAGATTTATTGTACAAGAAAAAAAATTACTGTAATCCATTTCACAGTAGGTGTGATGTGGAGAATGACTGTTTTGACTGGTTGTGAACTATATACCCCTAGATAGGATGCTTTCTAAGGATTCTACAGAATTTAGTGAGCAGAGAGTGTTTTCTTCAGTTTTAAATAAATGTGCTAGATACGATTAAAAAAAAATTCTTTTTTAGGGAGTGTGAAGCACCAACTTTGATATGGATAAACAGAGAAATTTGATGCCATTTCATACTCATTTACTCATGACAGACTGTGGAAGATCCTTGCTATTCAGCATGAAGAATTTAAATACTTGAGAAATCTCACACTCAGTAACTGGTCAGAACCGTAAAATCACTTTGAGTGGCAAATTTTCACAAAAGTGTGGTGGGATTTGCACTTCTGTGATTTTGCATGTCAAAATATGGATTCCTTATGCTGATAGCTGCTGGCAAACTGACATTGGCCAGAACCCCACCAGTTCCTGGACATGTGCAATGGTGGTTGTTTTTTTGCTTTAAAAAAACCCCCGTGGGCAACTGCAGAAAAAAGGAAACAACAGAAAATAGGCATTCTGTCTAAAAGTCAAGAGTGCTACAGGAGCAGTAAAATGATTTTGTATGGTTTACTTTAATTTTAGAACTGAGGTTTCCTTGTCAATAAGAACACTCTTAGCTGCTTCATCTGCCAACATAAAAAGCATTTTCCTTCCTGCACAGGATAAGATTGTTGTCAAGCCTTTGATCCCTGTGTATGTGCAATGTAACAGACTACACCAAGCAACCTGTTTCTCCAGGAGCCTCCCTGAAGAGACAGCCAGCAGGGGATGCCTCTGTGCTAGACCCACTGCCCCAAAGTTTATGAGGCTTCCACAGCAAGATAGAGAGCTCAGAAGATTAGGATTTAAATCTCTGTGAGCCACCATTTAGTAACAACTTGGTTCCTGGGCAAACACTCATGGCTGGACCTGATACCTTTTTTTAGTGTCTGCAGGCATGAGCTCAGGTGATAGCTCAAGCTATCACTGTTAGCAATTGCAGATCCTTGTTGAGCCAAGGAAGGGCAGCACAAACAGCCAGCTCATTACACAAGCTTTGCATTGACTAGGCAAAAGGTCAAGACCTAATCATCCAAATGATTAAACTTCCTGCTCTAAATGGGAAGAAATTTTGTGGGCAGAAGCGTAAGCATGTAGAAAAAGCCTGGAATTCAATCCTGGAATTGACTATTAGTCTGTGTTATTCCTATAGAACAGTTCTATATACCCTAGGGGGAGATCATACTTACAGAATGTTGAAAAGAGTAATTGTCATCATGTGTACTGTGACTTAATGTATGGAGGTACAAATATGATTATGTTCCTTTCTATTTAGATGACTGGAACTATTGATCTAGAAAACCCAGATAATCCAGGAGTTGAAGTTTATACTTTGACTGTCAGGGTGCAAGATATTGCCCATCCTAACTACTCAAGCAAGTATCCCTTTTACATTTCTTTTGATAGTTTTCTGTGCTGTAACATCATGGAGAGAGGAATACCATATGTATTTTGAATATATGCATGAGAAAATTTCACAGCCATACTTAACTATGATTTAATCTTCTGATTTAATCTTCTGTTATATTTCCAGATATCATCTACATTTACATCAGGATAAAGCCACTGAATGAATTTTTTCCAGTCTTCCGTAATTTATCTTATGTATTTAGTGTTTCAGAAATTACTAAAGGTACAGTAAGTAGCACCTAAATGATAGAAACAATGTTGCCATGTTGTTAAGTGCCTTTTTGCTCCAAATGAATTTTCATATATGTAGATGAGGCAAATGGCTCAAAGTTCCAGTTCAAATAGGGTCTCCACCATGCAACCACCTACTACCCTTAAATAGACTAAACTGGCAAAAACTCCAGTTGTACAGATGGAAGCTGAGACAGAGACAAATTCAGCAATTTCACAAGAAATCTGTGGCAGTGCCAGGAACTGAACTCGGATGTCTTGTTTTAGACTGTCTTTCTGCTCGTGCTAAATTAGCCTTTTGGAGGGACTGTGGTGGTGCACAGAAACCTTTACAGACTGACACAGATGAGTGAGGACTCCCTTGGCCCAGCCATGGAGCACTTCTGCTGAGGTTCCCTATACATTCTTGTGTTTTGGCATTTATTGTTAGCAGCCCGTGTACAGGGCAGCCATAGCACACCAAGGGAAACAGTGCTTATCATACCATTGCTTTATTTTTCTTGGGTGAAAAACTCTAACCACATCTTTAGTTCAGGTTCATCTGTGCCTTGTATTACTTTAAATGTTAATGAAATATGGGGTTTTTTGTCTCTAAGTTGGATCCAGCATTGGAAGAGTTCATGCCACAGACAAGGACTGGCCACCCAGTGTCATCACTTACTCCATTGTAGCTGGAGCTGGCACCAGGGATTACACAAATATCTTCTGGATCAGCCCAACGAAAGGAGATGTGAGGATTTTAGCTAGGTTAGACTATGAAACAACTCAGAAACATGTTTTCATAGTCCAGGCCTCAGACCAACAGAAGTCTACAACAGCATCAGTGAGTAAATCCACTCTACTACTTCACCTTTACCTACATCTTTCTCTCTTCTTCCTAGCAAGAACAGTAAGACACTGGGCAAAGCACTTTCTGTAAAAGGCAAGTGCAACCCTGCCCAATTATATATTACTCAGATGAAAGAGGTGTTGTTTACTCAGTCTTGGTTTATTTCTCACAAAAAGGATAAAATAATATTTCAATATTTTTGACTGTGGTGTTCACTTCTCAGACTTCTTTTTCTTATTTTACCTGGACAGTGAAGTTGTTTTCTGTGTCCTAGACAATTTAAGTTATTCTTTATGGCTACAAAAGTACTAGAAAATAGAAAAAGGACAGGGTCTTGAGGCCAGGTAGCACAATCTAATTGTAGCCATGCTTAGTGGTAAACTCTTTTTGGAGTCTCTGTAGTGTCCCTTGGCCCTCAAACATACTTTTGATTTTGTTTGTCATTTTTTTCCCTGGAAAGTGTCCAAAGTAATGTGAGAATTGTGTTGCAGAGCTGTTTTCAGGGAGTGGTACAGAGAGGATGTGGCTTTAATAGCAGGGTTGGGCTTAGGTTTTCTGCCCAGACCTATTTTATTCAGCAGAAAAAGCACAGATGCTATATCCACAAAGGTATTTTACAGTAACTTTTTTCAAGGAATCGCAGTGTCCCTCACAGGCAGGCTCCTTTTGACTTCTTTTCACACTTTCTCCCTCATGACTGCTTTACATTTGATTTTTACACATCTCTTGGGGGTGACACAGGTACTAGGCTTGCTTTTCATTCCAGCCAAGCACCACCCATAGAGCTGCTATCGAGGAGGTATTTAATCTCTTTATCATCTACAATGTTTTATGGTGACAATTAATGAAAACAGCATCAGAAGCTTTTACCAATGTCAAGCTTGTCTGTTGTCTGACAAACTGACATTAGAAAGAAGAACTGTGGGAAGGGTAACCTTTTTCTTTTAGCTAACTAATCCCAGGTGACATCAAACACACCTGGTTCTACTCAGGGTGCTCCTACCCGTGCAGGAGGCCATTACCAGCATTTCTCTCTCACTGGGAACAGTCTATAAACACTTTTCCTTCCATGGATCATACTCTAAATGGTTATTAAATATGCTAAGAAGCATAACTAATGATTGTGAAGCAAACTGAGAGTTTTGGAAGGGAGTTTAATGATTCTGTGGTACTATTATTATTTCTCATTTTCACTATAACGCAATTCAGATTGTTCAAAGAGACATATCAGCTTGAAAAGCCTTCACTTTTGGAAGATGGCTCAGCTTATGGAACCTGTTCCCAGAAGAAATGCTGATCACAAGAAGAATTGAAGGACAAATGATCACAGACATTTTCTGGCAGGAGCTAGTTTGGAAGGGGACTTCAGTGCTCTTCAACTGTTGTTGATCAAAAGAACAAAATGGGCAAAAGCAAACAGTTTCTGAAATTAGCAAAATTCTGTCCTGGCACACTGAAGCAGCTTCAGCTTGCTGTTGCTCTATTCTTCCAGGTAACTGTGAATGTTTTGGAAGTAAATGATGAAGAACCAGTTTGTTCACCCAATTTCTTCTCACTTCAAATCCCAGTTGATTTAGCTGTTGGGACCAACGTTAATGGCTTCAGGATTGAATGTCAAGATCGTGATTCTGATCCCAGGTCGTTCCGTTACTTCATTAATGAAGGTACTGTGTCACAGTGGGCGAGCTGGGAACAGTGGGAAAAAATACCAAATGCTGACAGTTCACTTGTATTTATAAACAAATACCTAACATAGTTTGTGTGCTAATTTCATGGTGAGCTAGCTATGATCTGCACATCATTACACTGATCCTCTCCACAAGCTGGCTACTGGTGCTTCAGGTGCTAGCAGCTAGAACCACTCCCTTGCAAGCTGGATTGCCTGCCATATTTATCAATAGGCTATTAATTATAGTTGACAAGAACTTCAGAAGAATGAGCTGGGATGGTGTGCGATGTCAAATTTCCCTTCCAATTACAGCTGAGTAAATCTTGAGAAACGATGGAAAGTTCTGTATTTCTGTGTATCTCACCATCACATAGATGGTGGTGCACTGTTCAAAACAACTGCTTGAACTTGCATGTCATAGGTCCATGCTGTATGCAATAAACCCTTCTTTTAAAAATCCTTCTTTGAACCTCATGATCAGCTGCATCCACTTGGAGAACTGCAGTGGTGTCGGATGACACTCAGCTTTACAAAAATAGAAACACTCTCTTGGGGCAATTCCTTCTTTTGTTGCTGAGGTGACTGCTGTGAAGGAGGGAGCAGATTGTCCAGGGGCCAGTAAAAAAGCTGTGAACATCAAAAGAGAGAATCTCTGTCCTACCGCAGTCCCTTGATGCCAAGGAGGGGCTCTACAGACACAGTATTGACACACGATTCCATACAACTGGCATGGCTGTGTTAATAAATCAGTGTCTGATCATGGGCCCAGTCCTGGTGGTACAGACCTGAGCTGTGTCATGCATTGGCCTCTAAGCCACAGAGTAGCTCATGGCCCTTTTTGTGCTATAAAACAGGCATGGCCTTCGAGCACATGTCAACTCTTCATCTCTGTGGGGCCTCAAGAGCAAAACTGAAGCACATTTGGTGCCTTTTCAAGGCTCTGATTTCCTGTATATGTGGCCTGTCCATATCCTAACAGCTGGAGCTGCTCTGCCTGCAGCCTGGGCCATGAGCATCTCTCCAGCTACAGTGGACAGAAAACAAGGGGTAGAGAGCCAGCATTTCTGAGCTCTCCTCCCTGCCCCACAGTGCTGACAAAGCACTGCAGGGAATTAGTGTCACTGAGCCATTAACTCTCTTCAAAGGCCTCTTCTGGGCAGAGGGAGAATCCTTGGAGAGGGGCTGGAGCAGCACTCCAGGGGCACCCCAGTATTGGAATGAGCCCTGTCACAGGGCAGGGTCCTCACCCCAGCTGGGTGTTGTTGGGTGCTCCCATGATTGTAAGTTCAGGTCATTCAGGTGACCTCCTGTGTGCCCTGTGGCTATGAAGTGTTTCCACAGCCTCCTCTCCACTATGTTCCATAGAAGATCTTATTCTAGATTGTGATGCTTTTATGACTGTGTTGGTTTAAATGATTTTATGTGGTACAAGGAAGATCAAGGAGCCCTTCCGGTCATTGACATTTCACCACACTTCACCACTTGTTACACACATTTACTTTAATGTGGGATTAAAGTAAATTTTTTTTGCATCTTGGTGTTACCTTTTTGCAGGCAATGAGAACAGTCATTTCACCTTTTCACCAAGGGCTGGCTCCAACACATCTCGTCTGATTCTTGCATCAAGGTTTGACTATGAGAGTGGACTTGATACAAACTGGGTTTACAGTCTGCGTGTCCACATAACAGATGACAATTTAGTATCTGTGAGGGACAAAACTACACACTTAACTAAAACTGGAACAGTGACCTTAAGCATCAGAGTTATCCCAAACCCAACCACTACCACAACCACTACGGTAAGTTCACTAAAGCTTCTGTCCAGTTCTGCATTTCTTTTAGGGTGTAATCTCCACAGGAGTAAGGAGAAGAGGGTAGATGTATGAAAAAGGAAAGCAAAACCCTGGAGTGCATCTAGTCCTGGGAGGTTCTGAGCCTTTTGCTCTTATGATGAAGCCAGAGGTGGTTCATGTGCTTGGTGTCATGAAGGATTAGTCCCAGGTACAGAGTCATAACATGTGTTTTGTATTTCAGTTTCTAAAACAAAAAGGGCAGGAAGCCAAAGGACTGGGCATGCTGCCATTACCATACAACTGGAAAGTTAAAGATTTTGGCAGCTTTATTAATAAGAAAAGAGCAGGGATTAACCTTTGCCTGGAACCTTAAAATTACCTCATGCATTTTGCACTACTTCTTTTTTTATTCATAACTATTCACTCCCCCATGTGCCTTGCAGTTTTGTGTGCTTTTTTATCATTGGACCACATTAATCTGTGGCTATCACAGTTGAAACAGACAACAACAGCAACAACAACAACAAATCCTCATCACTTAAAAGGGTCTCTTTTCCAGACCTGAGGTCACTGTCGTGTAAAACTTGGAGCAGCATGTCAGGAAATGAAGCAGTTTTGCACAGCTCAGTGTGTTGCTGCAGTTTCAGCAGGTTTCAGACAGCAAATCCAGAGGGGTGGGATGGGTCTTTCCTGAGCTCCACGCCCATATGATGGTCGATGGCTGAGCTGAGCAAGCCTGCACAGCTTTTGGCAGCCCAGGTGGGATCTTACCTTGCACATCCTGTGGAGATGTGGGCCTGTGTCCCAGCAATCCTGTTCACCCCTCTGCACAGCCATTCCAGCTGAGCTCTGTCTTACCAGTTCAATTTTTGATTTCCCTCAGGCTGGTGCAGGATGTGCAGAGAGCTTGCTCTTGTCTTGTCTGTAGATGTGACACAGACTGTGGGTACAGACCACTCTGTCTCCATCCTTGTACCAGTCATGCCTTGCTGCACCACCCTCCCTCATCCACAGTCCATCCACTCCCCGTCTGCCTGCAGATGGCATTATCCTTTTCTCTCTTGCATGTAGGAATGAAAGCAGGAATATCCAAGTGAAGTGGTAAAAGAGGCCTTTGCTGTAAAATGGTCTAGATCTTCTGGAGGTTTCTGGTAACTGAGCCAGAACCAAAGGGTCCTGCAAACAGCAGGATCATACCACACAGATCAGACCATACAAATCTGGTTGCTTTGCTCTGAACATGCTTAGCTCCAAATTTTCAGACTGATTAATAACCCTGTTCTTATCTAATGATCTTTTGGGAAGGAATAAATGATTTTTTTCACTGCCTTCTACTCCCCGAACTTGATGTGGAAATGAAAAGTTAAGCTGAAAAAACTTATTCTGTATTTCTTTCCCATGCTTCACCACAACTACAAACAGCCTCAACCACATACCACAGCATTAAATCTGTCTCCCCAGAGATATCAGCCTTCCACTTGCAGGCTATTTTCCAGAAGAGCACTTCCAATACAGCAAATTCTCCCATCACTACTCTTTACATGTGTTCAGTGCAGCAGCTCAATGAGTCAGAAACTGGAAAGCTGTTTAGGTAGTGTAGAAAAGAAGCCCCATTACAAAATGTCACTTGTGACTTCAGTCCAGGTGAGGAGAAAGTGGTGGTGGTGATATTGAGATTATTTGAGCATTTCTCTAAGGATTGGATGTATCTTTTTTTGACAAGACTAAATAGATTATTTTAAAATTATCCTTAAACTGGAAAGAAATAGATACCCTGCTCAAATTCATACTCAGCGTGATTACAAATGTCTTGCAGAAAATTAAATAAAAACTTCAGTAGGTGATCAAAACTAATAGTACCACACTAGGTAATGAACTAGGTAGAGTGAATGAGTAATTTTTGAAATGTGTGAGAATAGTTTCATGATGGGACCTTAATGAATGAGCTGTTAACACCAAGTGATGTGCCAGCTCCTAGATGTCTCCTGACACGCAGGAAGATGTGGGAGATTGCAACTGCTCAGGAAGTGTGGTTTTTCCTTCTGGAACGAGTCACTGGGTAAAAAAGAAGGAGTTCCATTTCTTTTTATACAATAACCCAGTTCCTTAGGGTTCAACTCCTCTTACAAAGCAGTCTGAATGATTACTGCAGTGAAGATGACCTACTTCCAGTTTTGCCTTAGGTAAAAAGAAAACAGTATCTCAGTAATGGCAGTATTCCCTGAACTCGCCCACCCTCCACCAGTGTGCTTACAGCCTCTCAGGCAACCTGAGACTCTTAAACCCCACCACTCTCAGAATCTCTGCTTATCTCTGGTCAGAGTGACCCCGAGATACATTAGAAAGTCTCTTTTCCCAGCCCGGCACTTGGAGAAGGAGTCAGAACTCTTCAGTTCTTGGTCCTAAGGTTGTTTATTGCATCTTAGTTATAAAATTCTTTCTCCTGTCCAGCTGAGGTCTGCTCAGCAAGACAGTCAGAGGCACTCTGCCTGCCTCCCAGGCAGTGTTATCTTTTTATAATAAAAACTACAGGTACAATATTTACAATTACATTCCAATACCTATCACCTATGTTAGACAGTGAGCTTCTACTCTAAACCAATCTAAAAGTGCCAACATCACAGCAGAAAATGGAGGCCAAGAAGAAGAAGGAGAAAGGCTGGACATGCCAGGATTCCTCCATGTTGCCCCCTGTACCCCCATTCTAAAAACCCAAAAAACCCCATTCACCCTGTGATAAATTCACTGTCATTCTACTTAAACTTTTGTGGCTTGTAATCCTTCATGTAAAGGTTGGTTATTGTTTTTTCCAAGGGCTGAATCAAAGGCACAGGGGTCAGTGCCAAGGTCTCTGACCCCCCCAGACAGGGGTTCAAGGAGCTGCCTTGGCAGTCAGCAGGCAGGCACATGGCACGAGTCCCTGCCTCCCTTCACCTCCCTGTGCCCATCACCTGCCGGGCCCCGGGCCAAGCTGGGCTGCCTCAGTGCAGAAGTTCAGCCTCATGAAAGGTGACACTGGTATCAGTATGCATCCCTGAGGAACTCTTCTGTCTTGTTTTAAAAGCCTGGTGTCACTGTTGTGACCAGAAGAGAGAACCTGTACTCTCCATCGGCGTGGTATGTGCCGTTCGTGGTCACCCTCGGCGCTCTGCTGCTCCTGGGGCTGCTGGGCCACCTGGGGCTCCTGCTGCTGACCCGGCTCCGTAGCTGCTGCCCCCCGGCAGGGAAGGCACACAGCACCTCCCTGTGAGTCCCCAAAGGGCACTCTGGGCAAGCCCCAGCACCCCCTGGCAGTGACAGAGAGGGCACAGGCCTTTCTGCCATGATGGTATCAGTGCTTTGAATCTTCTCTAGCAGTGTGGGTTGTACCTGGGGCTCCTGCTGCTGACACAGTTGCTGCCCCCAGGCAGGGAAAGCACACAGCACCTCTCTGTGAGTCCCCAAAGGGCACTCTGGGCAAGCCCCAGCACCCCCTGGCAGTAACAGAGATAGCCTTTCTGCCATGATAATGTTGCTGCTTTGAATCTTTTCTAGCAGCATGGCTGCACTGCAGTAAATGCTAACACAGCGATATTAATGGGTGGTAATGATATGAACTCAAGGAAATGTGTGCCTGGCATTTTTTTTCATGAGTTTAGTAACATTAACATTAGAAGAAGGTAGGAGTGGAATTAGCAATTGTAACCTCTAAAGGCAGCTATGCTCATGAGGCTCAGTTGGAGCCACTGCCAGACTGTGCTGACCACAAATATTCTGGTTTGCATTTGACCCCCTCTCCAAGGGAGCTCCCATCTAGGTAGTTACTGGATGCATTTCCCTCTCTCTCAGCTACAGATCCCAGTGTCCTTTGCAAATATTGGTGTTCATGCCAAATTCATTGTTCTGGCAAAACTTCTGCAGATTTCCTGGAGTTTTACCAAGCCAGTTACAAGGCTCTGGCCCATAAAGCTTACCTCTAAGTGTTCATGCTTGGCAAAAGGCATGGAAGCACCTGGGACCAGCTCTGAGTCACTGTGGGAAGTGGAGAGTTCCCTGCTGGCTCCTTTCTCAGTGGGCTGGAGCCAGACTGCCTCTAAATTGACTTTGTACTTCACAAAACAAAGATAAGCAGTCCTTTAAGTGGCTGGGATTAAAAAAAAAGGGATTTCTACAAGGATTCTCAGGATTTGGACTTCAATTTGGAAGTTACATTAAATGTAAAGAACTACTAAATGACTGTGACTATATGCTCAGATCATGTGTGCAAAGCATTAAATGGTTGTGATAAAAATGACAAATGAATCTAAGATACTGCTATTATTTATTAATTGGGCAAATGATTTATTGGGGACTGGGGTCTCAGATCAAAAAGCAATTTCTATATTTTCAAAAACATTTATAACCTTTCAAATATTTTAAAAGGCATTCTCTGAGCACATCAGACCCAAAAAATTGACCTTCCTCCCAGGATGGAACAAAATGACAATATCTGAAAATATATTTTTCCAGATTATATAAATCCATTATGCTATCATCAACAAGACTTTATTATTTTAAGAGCATTCCTTCTTGAAGAGGTGTTAGAGCAATGCTCAGGACTGTTTTCCTGTTTGAGAGCAGCATTAAATGATGCAGGCTTTCTATGAAAGCAAAATCAGAAACCAAATAAATCAAGCCAATCTCAGAACTCAAGGAAACACATCCTTCTTGCCAAGTGAAAGGGAATAAATTTTTTTTTTTTTTGTAGAGAAAACCATGACAATTTTTAACTACATTCTTAATCTTCTTTTCATTACAGGATAAATGCTCCAGGTGTGTACCTCTTTTCTATATTTTAATGTTTAAAAATAAGACCTTGTTTACGATTCTGTGTAAAATCTGTAAATTAATTTCTAGATAGAAATTTGACACAGTAGAAAGTTACTGAGATTAGATAATCCTGGCCAATTATGGAAGGCCTGATTTCATGGCCTTTTTAATCTTCAAATCTATTAACTATTAGGCAAAACCCAAATTCAGAGTAGTATGGTACTCTGGCATAGATGCTAAAGAATGAGTGTAATTTTCACACACAATTTATATGCTATCTATCTGTTAAAAAATAATCCCATCCATCTATAGCACCTTCAAGTGTCCTCTCCAGTCTAATTCCCCATTCTCTGATCACTTCTCTGATCATTTGCTCCCTTGGCACCATTACTTCACATATACAAAGATTTGTTTTGAAGTATTGGTGCTTTCTAAAATGTTTGCATAACCTAGCAGGGAGATAAATCACACATGGAAAAGCATGGTTTTTTTAAGCAGTCTTGTTCTTTTTAGTCCCATTGCATTTCTGCTAGAAAACACTGTCCATATGGGCTGAGTAGGACTCTGCTTTTGTAATTCCCCTTTCCTCAGTCAGTATCTCCCAAACGGAAAAAACGCAGGACTAACAAACCCCACAAAATTAGCTGTTCTCTTGGTTGCCCAATTTGAGACATTTCAGTATTGGCTGATTTCCAAAAAGTGAGCGCTTTTTGCATTCTGAAAAACTGGTTCCCAAATGCTGGGCAGAAAGGGCCAGACAGAACAGGTTTCCCATCAGTGCTCAGGCTGAGATCCACCTGCAGCACTTCAGAGTTTTGCACACCTGGCTGGGAAGCCCATTTGTGGCCAGGCACAGTTCTCCACTGAAAGGCCATTAAACAAATTGGCAAGGAGTGAGTGAGAAGAAATCATAGCAACTGGTTGGGTACCATCCACAAATCCGTGCTGTTGAGATGCCCATGGCACTGCTGCTGTATTTGTTTGCGTGTGGGATGAGCTAATAGTGTGGTGAATTCACACACAACCAAACTGTTCTTCAATCTGAATTTTACTTGACTGAAAATGCAGCTCTTCCATGTTTTGTCTCCAAGCCAATATTTGACAAAGGATTTGCAACCACAAGCATTTGTGTAAAACAATAATCTGCATTTCTAGTTCAGATATTCCCAAAGGTGAATTTCTGTATTTGTTCATATTATTTAGAAAGGGAAATTTGTTTAATAAAATTACTATTCATTCATTACTGACTTTTCAAGGCTAGTTTTTTGATTAGTCATTGGCAACTGTGGATTCTCACTCAGCATTTGAAAAGAAATAAGACTCATTTAAGACGTCTCAGCATTTGAGTAGAAAGAATGTCTATTTCTTTGAGGAAATCTTGACTTTAGTGTCTACAGTCACCATCAGAAAATTCTGATTATTAAAAATGTGCATTTTCCTTTCTGTAGAAAAGAAGAAGCCTAAGAAAGAAGTAACTGTGGTAAGTACTGCTGGCCTCAAAGGAAGCCCCAGTATTGCCAGCTCCATCATGCAATATGACCATAGGACCCTTTCTATGAATGGTGTCTGTTTTCCAAAGAGAGCATAAAAATGATAGCCAAGGAAACAACTGCTCTCAAGTGCAAACACTTCACTGTCCCAGCTGGCCTCTGTGTTTGGAAGCAACAAGGGTGTGAGGGATGTTCACCTGCACTGGGGCTCCTTTGCTGCCCAAATGCTGTACGTGGGAGGTCAGACAGGCTGTGCCCACAACAATGACAGGGACACTCACTGCAGAGGCGGGACAAGTGCCCCAGCTTCACTGATGGCAGCAGTGCCCTGCTGAGACTCCTGTGGAGCCAACTCTGATCCACCTGAGTGCAACCAGCAAGGTGTGCCAGCACACCCAGGCTGTGAAGAGTTTGGCCTTGATAAGCTGTTTGCAGCAAAATGTCATGTTTTGGATGTTTCCACTGCTGGAGATGGATGTTTCCACTGCTGGAGATGTTTCTTTGCTCCTGGGTCTCAGGGCTCCTTCCTTTTCATAGGCATTATTGCATAAAGGCTGCAAAACTGCATAAATAGACAGAATGCTCTCAGGCACATGGTGTGGCTCCTGGATCATGGAGTGATCCTTTGCAGGTCCAGGAGCTGGACTGGTATGACCCTTGTGGGTCCCTTCTAATTCAGGATATTCTGTGAATCTGTGCAAGGCACTTTGATTAGTGAACTCCCTCTCCCCACATTTTTCAGAGAGGGGATTCCCAAGCCTACTCTGGGTGGAGGAGATCGTCTTGTGGTAACACACATGGAGGCATTTAGCACGTCAGAACTTATTAATTCTCCTTTAAATATCTAGTGAGGAAACCCTACACCACAAATGGCTCTTGTTGCCATTGGACTATGGTCCAATGTATTGCCATTGGACTAGTTTAAAAAAAAAACAGCCTAAAGGAATGCAATATACAAGCCATATAGATCCACCTCCATCCATTTAAATCACAATTTTCAAGTTACTGCTCCTCTTTCTGATTTAATTCACAGTTTTCATTTTTCATTTTGTGTTTCTTCACAGACAATGACAAAGCTAAACACTATCTTTGATGGAGAAGCCAGGGATCCAGGTAATAAAAAGCAATTAACAGAGGATATGAATATTAGACTGGAAACAAACTGGATTAGTTGATTTAAATATGGCTTGACATTGGTTTTTCATATTTCTAGAATATACTTATAGCCCTTGAAAGCACACATCTGAGGGTCAGACTGTTCACAATTCCTCTGCTAAACTGGAATGTATGGATGTGGTATAGGAAGGTGGGAGGGGAGAAGGGATGTGTTGCAAGTCTCCTGCTCTGGTGCTGTCATAGCTACATGGTCTCACCCATCTTGTGTCTGGAGAATGGCTAGGAGATAAATGTCACTGCAGAAGTGTTGCCTTCACCTCCTGAACTTCTCCCTGGAGAAGTGGGTGGGTGAGTTACTGGCTCCTGCACAAACCTCCTCCCTTACAGGAACAGTGTGCTGCTGCTGTTTATCCAAGGCTCAGGCATTGCTTGTTGGGGAGAAAAGGGAAGGCCATCAGCTGGCAACAGGCTCCTGGTGACATTATGTGAATTATGTGAACTCTGGGCATATCTGATTAACCAGCTGGGAAGAGCAAAAATAAGGGGAAAGCCGCAAACCTCAGGATGAGCTGCTGGGGAGCTCATCCAGCTCCCTGAGTGACAGCCATTTCTCTGCAGCAGGGCTCACTACAGGAAAAATATTTTTGCTTTACTGAGGATTGATCTGGCTTACCTCATTTCCCTGAAACAGAGCCCCTGCCTGAGCCCCTTACTTTGATTCTTGGCCTGGAATTAGGGTGCCCAGCCCTGTGCCTAATGGCTGTGAGCCCCAGCATGTAAATGAGGGGCTGGTAAAATGTCACAATCAGAAAAAATAAGTTCTTATAAAATAGATCTGAAAATAAGCCTGAAACAATAGGTCTAGAAATCATCCAGAAGAAGGCAGGCTTGTTTCAAGGCTTGGATTCATCTGGCCAATTTCCACCAAAGTGCCTGTAACTTGTGTTTCTTATTAGCTGGCTCAGAGCTGTTGGATGTGTTGAGCTAATGGGAAACACCAGGCATGGAGACTTCAGTACAATTTCGGCAAACAAGCGGGACCCTACTGTGCAATTAAGTCCCTCCACAAGGTTGCTCAAGGCTGGTTTGATCCAGGTCCAAGATCACCTGCTATTTATAAAGAGATCTGGAGGAATGGGCTCCAAAATCCCTGTTTTTTTCCCTGTATAACTGCATTTGTAATATATTAAACACGGGTAGTCTCTAGGCTGCTGAAAGAGCTGCTTTTCAGTCTTCCTGAAGACAGTTGGGGCTGCCTTTCTCAACAAACCTGACCTTACTGGACTCCAGGATATCTGAGCCCATCCAAACCTTCATCCAGAGCCACAGCATTTGTGTCATGCCTGACACAAACATTAAGCTCTAACACAGCTCTGTGGTGACAACAGGGAAATGTGTGCCCCCCACTCCTCCCCTCTCTTCTCCACAATTCATTGCAAACCCTAGAGGATCAAGGGTTGCTGCTTTGGAAATGAGATTTAATAATCCCCAGCACATCATCTGTTGAATATGATTAAGAGGGATGGTCAGAAGCTGTTCCCTGATCTGGGCTGCTTTAACATGTCTGACTTGTAAGCAGACAGAAAAAATAACATGTAAAGAGGTCCAGTTTCATCTTGAGTTGCTCAAATGGTGTTAATGTGTCACAAACCATTAATTCTGATAAAAACTGCAACATTTAGTAGCATGTAACCACTGTTTCTTTCCCAGCCTTAATGGTCTTTTGTTTGTCTTCTATTGTTTAATTACAGAAAGTGCCATTATAGCTTCTGATTCTCTTTGTAGCAAGATACAGTGAGTTAGACTGTGAGGGGATCACACTGGACACACAGCAATTTTTTCACTTATCTCTAGGTAGCAATGAACTGAAGGAGAAAATATTTTGCTTTTAATGTTCAAGTAGAAATTACCCATAAAATCTGAATAGAGACAGAAGTCTTTCTGACAATGAGAGATAGCCATGTGTGCTAAACATCACAAATTTAGCCATATTTTATCTATATGAGAAAATCATGTACTTGTATGAAACACACAGTACTTTCACTCTACTAATGGCAAAATGGACAGCAAGCCTGGAAGAAAGCATTTTGTGTAAATGGAGAAGGAATGTGTGCAGCCAAGACTCTCTGGATCTCCAAATCCTGTGTCAGTACAGATGAGCTGACATGGTCTGGAAGATGTATGTGGCATGCTGTGCTCCTAAGCAGGGTTTGCTACCTCTGGTAGGCAACTCTACATGACAAAGTAGGCACAGACATATACAATGGTCTTGCTCAGTATGGCTGAAGATAGAAGTTTTGTCCTTACAGATGTGGATGTGTTTGTTACACTGCCCATGTTAACCCCTGGTAGCTGGAACTTGGATACATTTATAGGGTGAAAAGAAATTTATTTGTTTTGGAGTAGGAATGTTTAAATATCCCTGTTCTCCTAACTGCAAAGACAATTCTTATAGTGACAGCATCTCCTCTGAGCAGCCACTCTGATGCCCAGTTCCCCACAGAAATGAGGATTTCCCTCTCAGGGCTGCCTCCCCAGCTCAGCTGAATTCCAAGTGCTTCACGTTTCTCATTTCAGTTCCATGCTGAGAACTGTCATGTCTTAATCTGATAAGGCAAACATTATTTTAATTTTTTGTCTTTTTGTTCTTTCAAGTTACTGGCAGAGTGTATGAGTTCAATACACGGTCGGGGGCTCGGAGGTGGAAGAAGAGCAATGAGCCCCTTCAGCCAGTGCTGGCTATGCAGGAAATGTCCAGTGCCACAGAAAACAGTGGCCAAGGGGTGGATGGACCAGACACACCAAGCAAAAAAGAGCCTTCAGAGAAGAGGGAAGAGCTGACTGCAGCAACAAAACCAGCTGCCAAGCCCTCAGCAGGGCAATGAGAAACACCAGGCCAAGCTGGGCTGAGATTGCCGAAGAAGAAAGAGGAGTCTGAGGATGGGGCTTATCCTCACCAGCCCCTTAAGGCAGGAACTGACCTCCTCTCCCAAAATGAACTCTTCTTTTCTATTAGGCCAGAGTGTACCTCCCCACTGACACCTGATCGCAACAGCCAAAGAATCAGATGTGACTTTTCTCTCTCTCTCAGCTGTAAAACAAAAGGTGGTCATAAGGTGTGTAATCCAGACCCAAAGGCAGGATGAATCTGGATGCACCTTTGGCAGGTGCATGTAAGAGCAGGAGAGAAGAAGAGGAAGCAAAGCAGAGTCATGGACAGAAGCATTCAGTGCCCACTGCCTCCTACAGACACTGGTAGCTTCCCCATAGAAAAGTCTGCACCTCTGGCAGGCATGGCCCCATCCTCTGCCTGCCTTTGGGAATGGCAGCACACACAGATGTGAATGGGGTCTCCTGTCCCTGCTGAGCAACCAAGTGAGTGAAAAGCACACCAGGGTAGAAATGTTTGCTGGTAGAAGCTAAAAATATTTTCTTTTTATTCAGTATTTTATTTCAGCCTTTCCTTGCCCTCCCATTTGCTGTAGAAAAGTCCATGGCTTGAAAGCAGTCCTGGAGTAGAGAAAACTCAGAGCTTCTTGTGGCATCTCAGGCTGTCAACACTTTGAGCTTATTTATCTTTTGTAACACTAAGAGCATTCAATATCTTCACCTTTGGTATTTCCTCTGGCACATTTAATGCTTTACAGGATCAAGTGGAATATACTCAAAAGAATAATGACAGTAAACACATGGGGTGAAATAATCTTTTCTGAGTGTGAGCATGTATAATGTAAGTGCTGTCTGAAAACCTGATATAAAACAAACAAACCTGACAAGATTTTATAAAATTATTTTAATCTGAAGAAAAGTAATTATAAATGATGAGTTAATACTCCATGGCTTGTCTTGGCTTGTTTTCTTTACTGATTGCAAAAAGGTTTTTTGACAGCAAGGGACTGATATCAGGTGGTAAAAGAAAATTTTGGTTTAAATTGAGCAGTGGCAGTCAATGAAGATTACATTCAGTCTCTCACATACATTGTTTTTGTCATGCAATGAAGGACCTGGATGGAGAAATCCACAGTGAAATCACTGGAACCTACACTTCACAAACCAGCTGTCATGGTGCTATAACTCTTTGCTGTGCTCCAAAGGAGTGGCTTGGCTCAGGAGCAACTTCCCTAACAAACACAAATCATCTTCAGACAAATGTTGTTTCATTGCACAATCAGAAACCCAGTGTGTAATGAACACCACAATGATAAAGACAGGAAAGACTGATTTATACTCCCTGAGCACATTATCACTTCACTGTGTCCATGGCAGTTGTCATAACATTGTTTGACCCTACAGCACCAACAAGGGCAGCCACACATTCAGGGCTCCAACCCACCATTGTTTGCATTTTTTAGCTGCAAATGCAGCACATTCAGTTTCTATTCAGGTGGTTTTCCAGTGACATAGAGAAACTCTGCAGGAGCTGGTAGTGCTGTTGGAACTCTGATCTTCCTAGCACTCTGACACCAACCTATCCATATGCACACCTGGCACCTCCAGACATTAGATTTTATTACCTGAAGAAGTTAACTGAATTATTTCCATGATAGGAAGACACAGGGGGGTTTGTATTTACTTTCCTGAACATTTCTCTAGGGCATCTGCTTTACTTTATTGATTATTCTAGCACTACTTCAGTGATTAAGGGACAAATGCTTTTTTTTTTTTTAAGGCAAGGGAGAGACAGGCTGTAGTTTCAGCCAGGAAACTGGCAAAGAGGCAGATGACTACTCATCTTTCTTTACTACTGCTCCTGCTGAACGGCACGAACTTATTTCCTTCCTTCTTAGGGAAAAAACCCCAACAGCAGCATAACCTGGCATCACAGCAGGCTCTGAACTCCATGCATGCATACACAATGTCATGGCCAACACTGCTGGTGCCATGGTCTCCCACAGCTGGGCAACAGCTGGGTGAAAAGCAACTGCTCTTGGAGTGGTGCTCTCATCTCTGGTCTCAGAACAGCTGACGGCTGAGCTAAGAGCAGCCATGGACAGAAGAGATGCCAGATCCAAGCACTAACACTGTTAGAATGCCTGCACCCAGTTGAGGTGGGTTTAGCACAGGGTGTGCTCAGCATTGCAGGGTCAGGGTTAAGCAAGGTAAAGCACCCTGTGAGTCCCATGCTGCTCCTGCAGGAGGAAACAAGAGTGCTGACCACAAAGCACAGCTTCACCCTTCCTGGTGGGAAATGCTCATCTCCAGCTCCAAATCATTCTTCATCTTGGCCTTTCCTATAAAACCTTATTTTGGACATGCATAGGACTACTTCCCTTGCTTAGGATCTACAGACAAGATTTTACATGAGCAGTAGCTTAATGCTAAAGCAGCACAATTTTCCTATCAGCTGCCCCTACTACTGTAAGTTTTCCTTCCTGTGAAGGAATCAAGAATGAATTCTTGGTCTCACCAAGCCAAAGCACATCCATTCATGTCTCTGGCTTGTCTTTGGTAGGACAAAGCAGAGAAGGTAGAACTGGCTGACCCAGGTGTATGCTTGTTACTTACTGTATCAAACAATATGTGATAAGATACTTTGAATATAAAGAAACATACATTTTTTCATAAAATAGAGATTATAATGCACTGTGCAGCACAGCTTTAAATGTTAGAAACCTCTTCTAATTGTCAGAGGAGCTTTTGTGGTTTTTTATGCAGAAGTCTTTTGAGAACACAGAGTCAGTGTCTAGAGCTGCCACTAGATGGACTGAGAGCAAAGATTAAGTGCAGCTCTACACAATAAAAGCATTTGATTATTGGAACAATTAGTCAAGACCATGGACCCTTTCCATCATTTGAAGCCTTCAGAGGTCAAGAACAGCTGCTGTGTGCTGTAGAGGGTCAGAGTAGATGATGAGAACACCCTCTCTAGTCTTCAACAGCTCTGTTAGTCCCTGTGAACACAGATACAAAGTGTGAACTTTGGTGCCATTTATTTTAGAGTGATGACACTGATAAGCTGAGACTAGAAGAGGAGGAAAGGCACCTGGTGGTTCAGGCAAATTGGCTGGGGGAATAGTTCCTGACCTACAGCTGCCTATTACATGTTATGCAATAATTTTATCTGAAGTCTACAAAAATCAGTGTGAGTTCTGGCACAGCTTTTAATTGATATGTCCCCACCTATGACACATCTCTGAAGTGCTTCCAGATCTGTGGATTGACCTTGCTCTGAAAGTTTCAAGAGTAATTAGGAAAGAGCACAGGTCACTTGTCCTGGTGGGGTCTAATTCCCCCAGGCAGTTTTTGTGTGACCATGTTACTGGGGTTTTTGTGCTTTTCTCCAAAGGCTCTGCTTTCATGCTGGTGTTATAAATAGCACTTGTAACAAACATCAGAAGTCTCAGCTTCTGGCACTGTAACTTCATTTATATCAAGGAATATAAAAATGCTGATACTGCATTTCTTCATGATCTGGAAGAGGCCTACACATGAGAACTACTTGAGCTGCAGAGATAGAGAGGGTCTGCCCAGGAGGCTGCCACTTTGTGACAGCTCATAGGAGCAGGAGAGGGTGCTTGGATCCCCTCAGAGACGGGGGGGGGGTCCGACAAGGGAAGCAATCCTTCTCCTCCTGAGCAAAGAATCTGACTGCTAGCTTATGTTATGAGAGCCAGATTGCAACACCATAATGTAACTAACATTTTAACAGCAAGCAGCCACAACTGCACGCTGCACATGCCCCAGCTGGTTGGGTGTCTGACACCCCCAGCCACAGCAGGCCCTTTGCAAAGCTCCAGCTGAAAGGCTGAGCACAGGCTGGCCCCCCTGGGCTCCATCTGCACAGGCCTTGTCTGAACTAGTCCCTGCCAGCTCCCTGTGTTGTCACAGGGGAGAAAGAGACACTAGGGGTGGCTTATTAAAAAGCAGACATCTAGAATAGATCAGATGAGCTGTGCCCTGAAAGCAGCTCTGTCTGCATGCCTAGATCAGATATCAATGCCTACAGAGTGCACACAGAGGTAAATCAGCTGAGTCTCAGCCCAGGCTGTTCAGGTGAGGGCAGGTCTGTGCCACTGCACCAGTGCCTGAGGAAGCTGAAAGCGAGGGAAAAACTGCGCAGGGAGGTCAGATAGCTCTGCTGCTCCCTGCTCAGGTGCCAGGGTGAGATGGGGCACCAGCCATGCTTTGTCAGTGCTTCAAGGTCTGCTTTCTGGGACCTGTCTTGGGGTAATTCTGCATCCAGAAGCAGATGCCATGAGATGTGCATCCCAGCAGCCCAGAAGAGAAGCATGGGCCCAGCCAGGAGATCAAAGAAGTTAAATACAAGTTTCAGCAAGTTTCTGCAGCAGGCTCATTATTGAATGAGAGACACACTTGCAAACAAAACAGATGAATGCATCTGACCCTGAATTATATTCAAGAACTGAAGTTCTTTGGTACCAAACTGTGGGTCAATAGATGCCTGGGATTTCAGCTGGTGAATGACATGGGCAAGGCACAGCTTGGTCTGGCCATGCAGTTGTGCTTCATTTTTAATTCCTGTTTGTGGACACCAGCTGGGGCCATGCAGACTGGAGCAGCAGCTCTGTGTTTGCACAGGATTGGCCCCTCTGTGCCAGCACTGCCTGCTGGGCAGCTGTGACAGCTTCCAGAGGGGCTCTGTGCATCCCATGCACATGAACCTCACCCAGGGAGGGTTTGCAGCCTGGTCCTGTCCATGTGGGCAGCAGGGCTGGTGGACCCACAGGCTGCTGTATCTGCACATTCAGCAGCACCCTGTGAGGGGACAGGGTGGAAGGACAAAGACCTGCTGGAGAGGGTCCAGCAAAGGGCAACAAAGACAGTGAGGGGTCTGGAGCATCTCTCTTATGAGGAGAGACTGTAGGCACTGGGCCTGCTTAATCTAGAGAAGACTGAGAGCGGATCTCAACATAAATATCTCAATTATGCCAATGATGCGCCAGACACTTTTCAGTGGTGCCAGTGACAGGATGAGGAGCAATGGCCATAAAAGTGAAACACAAGAAGAACCACG